GTGGGATTTACATTTGGAAAGAGTCTCAGAGTTTCCACTGACCCTCATATGGAGGAGTTCTCCAAACTCAATGACAAATTGCAGCGTTTCACATTTCCTTTAATTATCTTTAATATAGTGGCATCAATGACTCACTGGTTACTAATGTTGCTTTGATTTTGTTGGCATTTCACATTAGTATCAGTTCACACTGTCTGTTACTTATCTGTTTTTCTGTTTGTGTCTTATTCTGAGTTCAATCAGTCATTTGAAATGTTTGTTTTGTCTGTAGTTGCGTTGCAGCTACACCCACCGTTGCTCCGTTGCTGTGCTACAGCAGATTTTCAGCTAAGCTCCTATTTCATGGAACAAAATGTCAGTCTGTGGTTTGGCTGTTGGATTTGTAAGTCCCAAACAAGGCCCAGTATCTCTGTGTGATCGTGTTTATTGAACGGGAATGTGTTGAAAGTGATTTTGGCGGGGAACCTCCTGTAGGTGTGTCTCTAGACAGCTCTGTTCTTTGCCAGCGGCAAGATGGAGCCCAAACACATTTATTTAATTGACACTCTAATTGATAGACAAACAACCACGCAGAAAAAAGGGCTGTCTCTCTGGCAGCCTTTTCCAAATCACTCAGGAACCCATTATACTTATTCTGCTATGTAGATATTGTCAGCAGTAAACACAGCCTGAGGCTCTGCAGCCTGTTGCAGCAAACAAACAGGACTTTTCTCTCTAAAACCACTCAGGGTCTTGTTAAAGAAGAGTGATGGGCCTGGCTGATAATCACTGTTAGCAGACTGATGCTTAATAGCTTTTATTTTCAAATCATGTACACGCATGCCAAACCATATGATCAGAGTGGAGATGCCAGAAGATGTAGAAAAATGTAACTATTTTCTAAAAAATGCTACATGTAGATGAACCCAATCGCAGAAAAGAAACACGCGTGAAGCTGCTAAATCTGAAATATATCATAGCAGAAACATGTCTGGATTATTCTGTGTTGTGCTTCCATCTTCTCATATTTTACAGGCATGATGGAGCCGATGAACCGAACGATATATTTTGCAGAATTGTCACATGCATAGTAATAAACCAGGAGTTAGCTACACAGATGATAACTGTAATATAATTTATTCAGTCAGGCCATGAAGATCATATCTGACATAACAAACACTGTAACGCTGTTTTTTAGGTAAACACGTTACTGCTGACTGTTCTCGTCGGGGAAGGATTATTATTTTTGGATGATTATTGTTGCTCTACTCTCAGTGTGGCTGTTTGTCACTCAGTTAACCTGTAACGGGCATTTGTTGCCATGGTTGGCACATTACATCCATTTCCATTAAAGTGTGGGACTTTGGGATTGGTTACCTGCTCACCTGATTTGTATTTTTAGTAATTGTTACGGTTCTGGGTCAGTGTTGACCCAGCAATTTGAGTTTCTTATATTTTGGTTTATTTTTGCATTATGGATTGTTTCCTGATGTTCTGGTGCTTTGTTTATTGTTATTATCATTATAGATCTGTTTCTGTT